TTATAGCGTCTTTAAAGATATTCAAGAACTCCAAAAGTTTCAAAGAACCTCCAATGGCGCTGTATAGGTTTTTAACGCCTTCATCAGACTCCACAATATTAAGTTGTAAGCCAACTTGAAGTTTTGTAACTCGGGTAATAATGACACACAAAACGTGGCAGTGGGCGTACAGATTAGAACCGAATGAGTAAAAATCAATGTGTCAAGGTGTTCAAAATAAATATTGCAAATTTTCACAAGGACCGTGGGATGGAGACCTACCCAAGTAAATTCCCATAAAAAAATCCGCTGCGGCCAAATTGCAGACAAGAAATCGTGGTACATCCATCTTACTCCTCGAGAACACCAGCACAAAGACGACGGTACCATTCCCCAACATTGCGCATAGAAACACAAGCCACACGCCACACCGCAACGTCCACCAGTCAAAAAGATCTTGACATGGAAGGAACGGTCCGGGTAGGGGGAGACATTGAATCTTTCCCGGTGGGATATCGCTGTTTGGTACCTTTAACACGTCTTCTTCCGAGTACTCTTCCATGTACGATGGAAAATTTCCAGGGTAGGTAAAATCGGACCCCCCAATATGGTCCCAAAACTCTCGAAACGTCTTCCCTAACTTGTGACTGATGTTCTCTAAAAGCACAAGATGTCATCGCCAATGAAGGTAGCGAATGAAGCCTTACGATTTTGAGGCCACAAGTCCGTTCCGCTCGAGTTCCAGAAGGTCAAATCGATGTCTTCATCGTCTCCGGGAAACAGCACGATATCCTTCACCTTCGCAGGCGGCGGTGGATTAGAGGGAATTAGCGGTATAAACGCGCAGCAGTGGTAGGCGTAGGACAGGACTAGGGATTGAATTCTTGGAAAATTTTCGGGAGACGGAAAATCGCGAAGGTGCGGATTGTTGAAGGTCTTCAAGTGCCTCAGGCGTTCCAAGCCGGCTGTTGGGAGATGAGGGAATATGTTATTTCCCAGATTTCTGTAACTGAATCTTTAGGCAAGAATATTTATGGTTGAGGGTCACTTACAGGTCTTCGATGTGTGAAATTGCTAGAAACGCGTCTGGATGGATGTAGGAGACGTGGTTGCTTTCCATGTCCCTAAACATATAATGTTCGGGTCGTATTTACAAATAACACTTTGGCGACTAAGAAAAAGGGGCGGGGTAGTGGCGCTACTTACAAAAATTGCAGCCTGGACAGTCCGAAGAAGGCGTCGTTCGGAACATACTCGATCTCGTTGTGCGCCAGGAGAAGGTCATGCATTTTCGTCATTCCGTGAAATGGCCGTTCCTCGACTGACTTGATTCTATTGCTGGCTAAATCTCTAAACACAATTGTTGTTTACTAAAACTATTCACTTTTATTTAGTTTGAAAAGCTAATAGTAATTACTTGTACTTACAAAACCCGTATTTCCTTGCAGTTGTTCAAGTCAGGAATCGACGTCAACTTGTTCGACTTCAAGTCTCTGTAATATGAAATTTGTTTAATAATATCAAGTGTATAATTATGAGGCCCTTACAAGCTTCTTAATCGCGGACATGTGTAACAGAGAGAAGACGGAACTGATGAGATCCCAGCCCTGTCTAAACGCAGTACTTCCAGAGACGTGGTACCGTTAAGTACCGGAAAAGTTGATAGTCCGCGTGCTTCGGAGAGGATACTGGAACAACAAGTTTCATTACGAAACCATGAGGCTGAGAAATTCAGAAACAAAAGATAACATACAGTGACAATTTCAAACTAAATGCACAAAATGGGACTTTTTTTCAAAGATTTATGGTCCAATAAATAAAATAAAGTTAATAATAGTAATACTTGCAGGTTTCGTAGCCGTGGAAGGTAGGAGAATGCGTTGGAGTCGACTTGTACAAGCGGATTTCCTTTCAGCTCTAAAACGGCGAGGCCTGGACTTTTTTGTAGGAGGCCGCCCGGTATGAATTTTATACGGTTTCCAGATATTGATCTGAAAGAGAAATAAAATAGCGTTAGATCATTTAGAACAACCATGCTTGATAAAAACAAATAAATTTTTACAGAGGCACGGAAAATACTGCAGGATGTGAAACCTCTGCAGTAGATATGGTGCTGCAGGTGTCGATTTCAGAATTTTTCCGTCCACGACAGAATGAATAGTTTTGCTATGTGCTTGTAAATAAGTCTTGACTTGACCGTGCTTACCCCTCTAGTTGAAGAGACATTTTTTCACTTTACTTCTAGGTAGAAAAATTTTCTTGTTCAAGATCAAGTTCAAGAAAATATTGTGCAAGTAGAACAAACCGATTATGATTGGACAAATAAAGACTAAAAAAGTTTTCTCAATTTCATGATATATACGGATTAATCAATTGAACGAAAAATAAATATATAAACGTAATTGAAAGAACCTCAACGAATTTCAAATAATTTTTGTTGCAACGCATTTTTTGTTATTTTCCGAGTTTCCAGTAACGATAATTACAAATTACACTCGAATGACCCTGTAAAATAGATCAAAGAAAAAATGTTTACTGATTTTTATAATGAAATCCTGTATTTATCTGGACCATCAATTTAATTAATTATTTTTATTGCTCAGTTTCATTGGTATTTATATCAACATAAACTTTGTAACTGTACTTCTCTTTGCGTCGTTCTAAATTCAAATTACCAACAAAGATATCACAGTTTAGATTAATTGTACTTAAATAACAGTGCGTAAATATCAATTTAGGGAATCCATCCAGTGAACTTTCTTTTAGAGTCGTAATATGATCTCACTGAAGATATCAAAAGAACTCGATTATTGTAGTAAGTAACATGTAGGTACATTGTTTGAGATACCAGATTCCAGGTGAAATGGCTATGATACTGTAAAGGATCATGCTATTTTGCAGATGATTTCTGAATTTCTCATAATGTTTATGCTGCTGAGTAAGTTAGAGGCTCTGTATCACCGACATATTTCTGAAAAATGTCTCAGATGAGTTTATGTTAGTAACTTAGTCTATAAGGGTCTTGGATTCGAATCCGATATAAAACATGGCGGTTTGTGATTGTATAGTGGGGTTGAGTAGGAAGAGTTAATTAATTAATACCCCGCCCACTATAAAATAAAGGTATAAAATTAAAATAAAAAATAAAATAAAATATAATATTTGCAGATGATACCTATGGTAATAGTGACAGAGCCAGAAGTAAAACTACAAATGATTAAATTCCAAAAAGAACTAGCAAAATGAATGTGGAAAATAACATAAGCAAAAGTAAGACGATGATAATGGTTCTCGTAATGGCTAATGAGGTTAACGAACATATAATAAAAATTAATGGACAAGTACTCAAATAGGTTACGAATATCTGGGAGCTAGTGTAGAATATAATAGTACAATAAACAAAGAACTAAATTCCAGAATAGGGGAAAAGTGGGAAGAATACACAACACGCTTAAAACGACATTCTTTGGAAGCAGGGAAATTCCTAAAGAAACCAAAACGTAAATTTAAAAAAAAGTAGTAAGGCCATCATTGATATACGGAAGCAAAGCATGGGCGTTAATCTAAAAGTACATGAAAGGTAATAGAAAAGAAATACCTCAAGAATAAAAGGAATCACAGTAACTGAAAACCCTATAAAACCACTTTAAAGAGTCTCAGTTAATAAATCGAAACCAGCCGAATACGTATCATAAATAACTAATAAGCTTCTTCTGTTTACACTGATGTCAAATTTGCCTATAAAATGGGTTGAATAACTGTCAGGCATATATATCTATGCATTGATCTGTATGTTTAAGAATTGAACATAGGAGATTTGTATGTTAAAATTTACGCACTGTATGGTTTATTTATTAGAGCAGTGATCAATATTAACATTTGACCCGTTGAGATTCCCATATAAAGTAGTACGATGATGATCCTCTAGGTTGATGTTTCAACTACCCTACACAACTACACGGATTGTGATAACAGCACTTAGACTGATTAAACCATACATTTTGAAACAAACAGTAACAAATGTCCAGTCCGTATAAGGAAAGTGATCGTAAAAAATTATAACGGCTAGAATTGATACTGTTCAATAGCAATTAATAACATATACCATTGATTTATCGACAGAACTTCTTATTAGAAATGCTGCATTTCAATTTTATGACCCAGTTTATGGGACAATCTCTATATTCAAATTTTACGATCGTAAACTTTTTAAAAACCTTTTCGAGGGAGACACTTAAGATGCCACGGTATAATAAAGCAAACGCGCCGTTTTGACTACCTGTTGTAAATAAAAGCGCAAGATAATAAAAGTTAACGAAATAATGAACACTTACAACTCCTGAAGCGACGGTAGCTTCGTTAAAGCGGATGGAATTTCCATTAGAGCGTTGTCGTCTAGCTCTCTGAAATGCGAAGAGGAAACGATGAAAATGTTGAAAAAGCGAGACAATTAGTTAGCTTAAAATGACGTTACGCAAGTAAAATATTGATGTAACATGTACATACTTACAAAACTCGGAGAGACGTTAGGTTTACGAAAGCCTCCGGTGCGATTTCTTTGATCTGGTTACGTTTCAGCAACCTGAAATTAATGGTAACTGTCAATCATTGGGTTTTGTAATTATTTAGTTAGAATAAATGTTGAACTATTTTACGCATTCAAACTGAAAACTGTGAAACTTCAAACGTTTTACTTTTAAATTGTAGTCAATTTCGTAAGTGAAATTTAGACATCCGTATTATTAATGTTACGCACAATGAAAGTGTGTGGAGATTACGATTACTGTGGTAAATTACTAAAAGTTTGGATCGTGATTAATATCGCCGAATACTCTAAATGATACATGAAGGGGTGGCAATAAACATAAATTTTAGTACAAATAAAAAGTTGGAAGCTTCCATAAAAATTATTTGTGTTTTGGCCTGGTATAATTATGAATCTTTTAGAGGCAGTTTAAGTTTTATTCAATTATACTATATATTTTATTGGAATTTCATTTCCTTTAAATTTGCTCAAATTATTATTAGCACTTATGACAAAATTACTATGTTTAATTAATTGCGAGCGCGTGTAGCATAAGAATTAAATACATAAATATAGTATAAACACAATAAAAATATAACTTCAACCCAAATGTTTCTTTTATATTCTTCTGGTATTGTGTTCCATTTGTCACCCCTAGAGTTTCATTTTGGTTGATCCGTCGGGCACATGCGAGTACAGGAGAAATTTAAGGGATGAAGAAATTTTAAACTGCTTTTTTCTTCAAATTCACACTGCAATGCACAAACAGATATAGCACAGTAATATTGAATTGATGGTAATAAGTCGAAGAAGCAATTTCGGGCGTTTTGGATTCTTGAGATTATACCTATTCGAGTTGTTCTGATCCTTTATCGTCTTCAGAGTCTTTGGATTCAATTTCTTCGGACATTTCATACTCATTCGATTTTTCGAATGATTCAATTTTTCCGTTTTTAATTCTTTCAACTCCAGATTCTTTCATTTGCCTACTTAATTTACAAATTCTTCGTTTGGTGGCTAAACACAAGCGCGCAATGAAAGGCAATACTTCTCCACATAAAATAATCTACTATTACATGCAAATTTTGACTATAACATTTTCCCAAGACACGTCCGGCATCCGCTATTACGAAAAATCTCGTTAAGACTTTAATTTTATTATTTTGAGAATAGTATATTAAGATACAAGTGTATAATCAAGTCTTTAAAGCACGCGCAACGAGTTTAAGGGCACGACGCAAAGCGGAGTGCCTTTAACGTTGCAAGTGCTTTAAAGACCAATTATACACGTGTATCTTATAGTATTTTTTATTATACCTGCAGTATAATTTAAAAATAGGAAATTCAATGAAATCGTATTGACGTTATACTCGAATACATGTCTAATTAAGTGGGCTGGGTGTTCGTAATTTCACGATTGCCATGGAAATGTCACTTGACGTTTGCTTATAAAAATCGTCGTCTTTGTGAATAAAACGATTTCCGTTGAAAAAGATAAGACACCGTCCATTAAATCGCTTGTTGTAAAGTCTAAACAAACGTTGGTAGGTGTAAAATCTCAATCCAGTAAAGCCTATTATCAAGCATATGAAAAGTTGTTTCCATGGATGAATAGGAAGTTACTTACGAATAAAATCTTAAATGCATCGATAATGCTGGCATATATGAAGGAAATGTCAAAGGTATTAAATCTTCTATCTTTTGGTGCATTCATTCAAAACTTCACTTATTACTGGGACTAAAAACTGGATCAGATTTGGAAGCAGACCCTAAATTACGCGCGTTTGTAAAAGCTTCAACCAAAGGATAGGTACAAGCCAAAGAAATGTTCTGCATTTACAGAAAGCGACTTAGAAAGATTATTTTTTGCGCGATCGGTCATTTCTGACTATTTACCATGGGTGTTTCCATGACAGTACGTAGAATTTACCAGTTGCTATGATTACGACGACGCCAAAATTACTTCGATCTAAAAACAGAACAGCAAAAACACTTACCGACGCCTTTTTAAAAACAATCAGTCCAATGTTAACAGTTTACATTACATTTAACCTTTAATTTAATCTTCGACATACCATTCGGCCACCGGCGAATACCTGGCTCATAAAGTCATAAAGGAAGTGCAAAGCTAGCAAACTACATCAGACACATGCACAATTTTATGAAATGATTAATTTCAATTTTGACAAATAAACTGGTTACCTAGTGATGTACACCATACCACTTCGATCATTTCGATTTATTCTGCTCGTTAATTTCTTAGTGCATATTTATATTGGTTGCATAATTTTAATTTCGATCGCGCAAAAAATGTTATAAGCACGTCGAACGTTAAGGGTTACCGTTCTCAGACAATAATTGGAGTCGTCGCTCCGCTCCTCCTCCAAACAATTGTCTTCGAACGGTAAAAATCCCTTACCGTTCTCCATACTTAATATACTATATTTCACCCAGATGACAGTTTCAAAAGTCATACTTGAAGTATCGTTACTTAGCAACTTTAAAGCACGTGTGTTTTAAAGGCCTTTTTTCGCACGCATTTGAGTGTTTAAAACGGAGATTGTGATTCAGGTATAATAAAAATACCTTTTTTGGAATAATTTCACCTCCACAGGGAAGAATATAGTTTAGACGGCGGGTCGATGAACTTGGCCCATCGAGTTGGATACCAATTACAATATGCAATCAAAGGTCCCAAGTTAAAATCCGGATTCGTGCATGGAATATGAAAGTATATATAGGCATACAGGCGACCCGCGTTAAGGTGAAGTACTAGACGAATGTTCTTGAGCGGAAAATTGAAATATACCCAATTTCGGCGTTACTGGTAGAAATCCTAGACAGTATTGGCTGAAAAATATGTAACGACGCTAAAGTTGCTAAGAGAGGGCGCTAGTGCTTCAGCTTAACGCGGGTCGCCTGTAGTCGGTTGGGGTTAATTGAACGATCGCGACTAAAAATTGGAAATAAAGGCATAAATAGAAATAATAGATTCGCCAATAAATTCTGCAAGGACACTAATACATTTAAGCATATCCACTTGTAACGTTCGATTCTTAATTTAAAATTACAAATTTACATTTCATTTAAGTAACATTCGATTACTACCCTCATTCAAGTATATTCCTACGCCATTTATGTATTTCCTTTTGAAACCCGTTTAGTTTAGATGTAAGTTAGTTCTATGGTTGTTGTTGAGTTGTTACTACCTTAGTTCTTTGTTTTACGACTAGAGGCAATTCGTGTATACCTTTCTGCACTTCATTTTATCCCTTCTTCTTTAATTCTGTCTTGTTCCTTTTCTACGTTCATAATGGTTATTCGTGAATTGTTCTTGATACGCCATTACTGACTACCTGAAAAAAGGGCTCTTGGTAGTGGTTATTACCATAATTCTTTGGAATTTTTCTCACTATTCCTGATGTGTTGTGGCTGCTCCATTGAATAGGTTTGCGGATTTATATTTACAAGTGAACACGCTGTGAGGTATGTACAGATATGGCTCAACATTATACTTAACACGTAATTTTGGACTTTGTTTTCTCTCATTGTTCTCTCCTAAAACTTCTATTTTTTTCTTCCGATTTACTTTTTCATTATTATCTAACTGGATACTACTACGTATTTCTGATTCTACGTGCATTATTATTATATTACATCTTCTGACACTCCAGTTTTGCCTACATTGCTGTTGTCACTCCGATGATTCATTCGTACCACCTTAACTACGTTTTATATGCTTTATATTAGTCTGTTTATCGATATTTATTGAATTGCTTTTGAATTGTGAATTAGTTTTTGAAGCTACCGAGACTGATCCGTTCCGGAACCGACAACTAGGATTTTTATTTACGTTACTTGTGTCATTACGAAGAATTTGTTCGTGCTAGTTTATTTACATTTTGAATTAATTGTTGTTTTATAAAAATTTAGTTATTTGTGCATCGTAAAGTTGTTTTCTTGAAGTTAACTTCAAGTTTATGCTTTTTATATTTCACCGATTTGTGCGGACGATTCGTTGGTGATCAAAATTTTGCATTTGCATTGACAATTCAACTCATGTATAAAAAATCGCATAAGCCGCAGTGCAATTGTCACCTTGACAGCGACAAAAGTTACCTGCAACTTTTCCAGCGACAAATGCACTAGTGGTTTTTTCACTTTATTCATTTTCGAACCAATTATCGCATTATTCTTTCCCATATGACTAGTTTGACGTCTGTCAATAATTGATTAGTTTGGTGAATTTCTTGTTCGTTAAATTGTCCTGCCGAATTACACTCGAGATTTGTATTTAAACCGAGTAAATTTGGGTTGTTACAATTCAAATCTGTTTCCATTTAGCAATTGTACTCGAAAACTGTAAACCTAAAAATGCTCCACCTGCGGTGTCGCATTTTTATTAGTCGACAGTTTTTCTCGTCTAATTGCTAGGCAACAGATTTTCTTTACCTTAACAACCCAAATTTACTCGGTAAAATACAAACCTCTTGTGCAATTATAAGTGAAAATTACGGTTTGTAGTATACCTTAGTGTCGAACGTTAGACATGACCCGTATGAATAAAAGTAAGCAAATGCTTATACTTGCAAAATTCAAAGTAAATACTCGTAATTGCTCCTTCGCACTGGGCGACTTAGTAGCGCTGCTAAGCAGAAGGACAGGACGCAGTGCAGCGCTGCTAAACAAACCAGTATAAAGGGGCAGTTACGAGTATTTACTTTGAATTTTGCAAGTATAAGCATTTGCTTACTTTTATTCATACGGACCATTATTGATGTCGCAATATTTATATGCCGTGCTATTCACTATCCCTATTTTTTGTTTATTTTTTTATCTGCTACAGATAAGGCAGAAAAGCGTCTTTCTGAGGAAAGGCCGTTGCATGTAGTTCAAAGGTAATATTTTTATTTTTGATAACTCCTTGATAAAACGTTTGATTACATACAGCTTTTTGATACTACCGAACTTTAATTACTACATTTGTTGATAGTTCCGTTGTTTTCTGCGAAAACCTGTTTTGACATTAATAAAATAAATTAATAAAAGTGGCGGTT